GCACAGTACAGGGAGGTTTTCAGATGTGGAGGCAGATGCCTGTATGTGATCTGGAATTAGAGACACCACTGTTCCCAGCCTTGCTGGGTGCTCACCGCTGTGGCACACTGCCCATGCTGCTGCTCTGGCCAGCAAAAGGCAGTAAATTGAGCTCATTTTGAAGTTTAGTTCACCTGCAACACTAACTGGCAAGTGATCTTCCTGGCTTGCTCGCAACCCCCAAGATTTCTAATTTCTGCTGGTGCTCATTTCCTCCCCCATCCTGCTGTGGGGGGAGCAGCTCTGAGTGCTGGCCAAGGTTGATCTGCTGCAGGACGGCTGTGGGCTGGAGCAGGTGAGGGCATCCCTCCCATACTATGCTTTTTCCAGAACTGATAGAATTTGCTTACATGGATATTAAAATGAAATGCAGTAGCTTGATACTGAGCCCTGAGAGGCAAACAGAGGCTTTCCACACTGAACTGTTTTACTGAAATGGGTATCTGTGCTTAATATTTTTATTTGCTGAGTTACAAATGTTCCACAATAACCTATATGAGATGAAAGGAATCAAATATTCCTCCCAGGACAACCAGAAGAATTCCAAAAAGCTTTTTTTTTTTTGTTTCTGTCATGGTTTGACACTGGCACAATGCCAGCGCCCCCATGAAAATGCAACCTATCAATTTAATGCTGTGAAATGCAATTGAGAACAGAGCAAAGCAGGCCAAACTTAATAACAAGGGGGAAACTTTATTACACCACTACTACTACTACTGCTACTATAAAAGAAAAAAGAAAGGAAAAAAAACGCACATACAAAATTCAAAATTAAAACCTTTCAAAACATTCCTCCTTCCACCACCCAACTCTAATAAATCACAGCGAGACACATTTGGAGCCTTAATCAAGTCTTCACCCTCCACATAATCAATACTGAGTCCATCATGGGAAAGAGGAGTCTCCCTTGCACCACAGACCCCCAGGAAGCACAGCTGCCACCTCCTGTGTTTCCATGTCACACATGGCACTGCCCAGACACACCGGCCAGCGCGACACTCTCCTGTCCATGTCACAGTGCTCTCACCACCGTGCATGGACAGACTGCTTATAGGGCTCCTTTAAGGATGCTTTGCCAAGGACCAACAGGAACAACAGTCCACTGTCTCATTCTGGGACTACAATTCCCCCCATTTTCCCCTGGGGCCGAGGGTCCAAGAACAGAGATCACCTTCTCTTCTTCTCTGAAGACAGAGGGCATCATCACACCCTCAGCTTTCCTCTGTTCATTTCCTCTGGTAGTTGCTGAAGGAGTCTCTTGGCTCACCATTGCATCCCCCTAAAATGCAGTCTCTCTTGGAGGAAGGATTGGTTCAGTCTATGGCTGACAAGAAGAGTCCAGCCAACAGCCACTCCATCACCTCCCCCCAACCTTCTTTCCCTAACATCTGAGGTCCCAGGCTGTCTCTCTTTCCTTCAAATTGAGGAGGAGCAATATTTCACAAAGCCTTCATTTTTCAGGAAAGGGTTAAAAGTCCCAGACTCCCCAGACAGCTGAAATCTTGGCCCAGGACTCTGCTGGGCATCTTCCCCCTGCCTCCTTCTCCTCTGCCGGCAAACTCCCAGACGTCTGCAGGCTCTCTATCTCTTTCCCTCTAGGTTGGGGGCAGGGGGGGAACAAAGACATCCCAGATGTTCTCCACCCTTCCGTCTGCAGGAACTGGCCCAGCTCGGCTCCCAATCCTTCACCCCCTGGCCTACCTTCCCAGGCCATATGGCTTTTCCCCTCCCCCACCCAGCTCATGGCTGGGCAGGGGAGGTCTGCACTCTCCAATGACCGGAACCAAAGGAACCAAAGAGAGTGACGTCTGGGAATTCTGCTTTAACCCCTCTGTGTTCTCAGAGGCGTGTCCGCCCTCAATTGCTCACTCCAAGTGTCAGTATCCAAACCTGACCCCTGACTGGATTGATCTCTTCCTTCCGAAAAAATTCTTTCTGTGTCAAACCACGACAGTTTCCTTTAAATTGTGAAATATTTTTGCTATATTTTAAACTTTTATATATAATTAAAAATATAAATATACTGAATTTAAATACAGGATGGTATTAATTCACATTTTTCTATAATTACTATAGATAATTTTACATAACATATACAGAATAAAAAACCCTGAGAGTTTGCTACGAAAAAATATCAAATACTTCTGCTATTCAATTACTTATACCACTGTTTGGAATCACTGTGTATCATGATATACATTCCCAGATGCCTAAGGAAAATTTCTACCAGAGTTCTATTATTCCCTATTAAGAGCAAGTGAACATCTCTCTAGGGACTACACAGTTTTTCCCCTCTGAAAAAAAAAGAGGGAAGATCTTTTTATTTTCAAATTTTTGTTTTTCCAGTGCCAACTGTATTCCAGATCTTCAAGCAGACTTCACAACCCCAACAGAGACCCGTTATGAGCCCTTACTGTCGCCTTTGAGCTTGCTACTTCAAACTTTTTTCCCTGTAGATTTTCTCCCCAGTCTCTGCACCTGCCTTATGTACTTCTATCAGTTTAAAAGCTGCAGTGAATCCTAAAAACAGGCTTGGACACAAAATGTGTCCTCAGTGCTTTTTGGGCATATCTACAGCACTTTGCTGACTATATACATGTTGGAATAATGCCACAAATATTAGTGTGAATAGCATCCATTATGATAATGAATGAGACTGAGAGCAAAGTGAATTGAAATCACTTGCAGAAACCCCCAGCACATTTTCTTTGGCTTTTTATCTCTGCAGCTGGCACGTGATACAATAATTGTCTTGCTCACATTACTGTCTTCTTTGCTTGTCAATTGAGTTTGTTAAAGTTTCTTGTACCAGACATTTATTTGCAACCATTTCTAAGATCATGACTCTACTGCCTAAATCAGTTGTTGAAATTTGAATTCCATGCAGAAAATATTTAGGTATCAAGGTTATTTTTAAACTCAGTCATGTACAACACCTTCGCTTCCCTGCATACAACTAGTTCTTTGCAAGAGCTTGTTTATTGAAGCTTATTGAAAGAGTAGTAATTTCTCTTTTTTGCATTTTGAAGTTTCCACTGAGTTAATTTCCTGGAGGGATATTTCTGTCACTGTACAGCAAGTATACAAAGGACCTAGAATCAAACACAGGTCAGAGGTGACACAGTAGCATTATTCCCACAAAGCACCTCTACGGATACTGGCTGCTTATGGTGCATAAACAGGTTTTGGCATCCATAACAATTAATATAGATATGGGAAAATTAAGACCAAGTTGTACACCTATCTAAAACACATTTGGAATGGTTTGCCACACAGCGTTCCTGGAAAAACAACCTTTCACTGGTGACATATTTTCATTTCCTAAAGGAGAGAGGGGTTTTGAGAACATGTATTTTTATTAATTCTGCAACAACCAAAACTGAACTCTGGAAAATGTGTTTGATTTCTACGAAAATGTCATCCCTTTGGCTCTGACTTGCTAGCAGTGTTTTTTTTCCCAATGTTTTATTAACATGACACTTTTACTTGAGAAAGTAACTGGCACATGCTGTATATTTTGTGTTCTCCCAAGAGAAAATGAAGCAAGAGCTTTAGAACGAACAGTGAAATGGTTCCTGCTTGTGTTTACTGACAACAGAAAGTGAACCTTTCAGTTATTTTGCTGTCTCTCCAGCCTAACATCCTCCAATGAGAGGATGGAATGCTGAGCTCCCTGCCACAGAGACGGATCTCTGCATGACTTACTGGTAGTGCAATGATCCAGTGAAACAGTGGCAACTTCATAAGGAAAATTGAGGATAACACACTTCAGAATTACAAAAAGGGTGGTCTAAAACATTATGTTTAAACTCAGTGAATGCAGCTGTTCCCCTCCAGTGCAAACTACCACCAGGAAAGGTGATATTATACAAGAGATCAAAGTTCTTGATTCCAGATGTCTTATTCAGCTAATCCTCACCTAATTTTGTTTAATGTGTCTCCATATATGTTTGCATAAAACAGAATTTAAGAAAATTTTGTAAGCATGGGTGCCAGCCCAGTCCACGAAGACCAAGAGAACTTCAGGCTCAGGAGAAATACGAAAAGAAGTTATCAGTTCCCAGAGCTTTAATACTGAAGTTTCAAGGGGATTAAATAACCTTGCTGGTGATAGGTATCTAGCTAGTACAAAGTTGATAATTCAAGCTATGAAGTTTTTTTTTTTTTTCCTCACTGATGAGGCATTCCTAGAAAAAGAATTCCAAAAAGCTTTCCTCCAGTGAGATTGGAAAGCATTTGAGCCTTGTATTTGTCATTTATTCAAATTAAATACCCTAATACATCTAAGGTCAGATAAAGGTGGATTTCTTCTGTTACTTTCTGTCTTAATTTTATCAACCATATTCTCAGCTTTTTCACAACAGAGGAGAAGTGATGTCCTTCGCAGCTGTGTCTCCCATTCATGAAATATACAGAAGTAACCTGGTAATTCTGCTTAGCTAGCAAGGTGATGCAGGCAGTAAAAGAAAACAATGTGGAACATTTTACAGACCAAAGACATGCCCTGATAAACACCATGTGTGTGTTTATAACATGTAGATGCAGACAAGGTGGGAAAGAGAGAAGTTTAAATGGAATATTGTGGTTTTCAAAATATTTTAAAGGTAATGTCCAATCCAAACCCCGCCCTGATACAGCCTGTGGCCATGTCCTCTTCTCCTGTCACTAGCTGCCTGGGAGAAAAGGCCAACTCCTACTTTGCTACAACCATGTGGAGCAGAATGGCAAACACTGGAAAGAGCAGATGGTAGCGATCTAAATAAATTACCAGCAAGCGATGGTTCTGCTTGCTGGTAATTTATTTAGAAGATACCAATACTGAAGTCTTTATCTTCAGTCATTTGTCACAGGTATATGCCTCTACCATTCCTACCCTTACGTGCCCAGATCTCTTTTGCATCACTAACATTTTACCTTCTTACCTACAAAGGTATCCAAAATGAAAACAGTAGAGTTCTGTCTACAGTTAAACTACCCCTCTCTTTATTGCAGTCGAAGTGGGAAATCCAAGCCAAGGAAGACAAAAAAAAAACTCCCCATCCAAAGCTGAAACTTTGGAAAACTCGGGTTTTGGGTGTGCAGAAGCATTACCCAGCATTAAACTGTTTATTAGGAGGCATTATTTTCCTATGTCAAGAATATCTGCCATGATACTTGTGCTATATTTGATTTGTTTCACTTTAAATCACATATCTGTTATTATCAAAAGTCTTTAGTGGAGGCTCTGAGAGGCTATTTCCCTTAACACAGCTGTGAGACACAATTGGCAGCACCACACAATCCAGATGTAGACTGGCTACAACGACATTTTCCAATGTGAGATAAGGCAGCAGCTTTGATCGTTGGCTATCTGTTGTCCTCTATGACAATGGTTCTTCTTGGATAGGTCTCAACATCCACAAATATGTAGCGGACCTCGAATCTTCCTGTTTCAAGATTCTGGAAAGAAAAAAATTTCAGAATGTCTTTTTCTCTTTGGTAGTTTAAATTCAAGATTAAGCTTGTCAGGTATATCACGCAATTGTACATACCTCTTTGACTTCCACATGGACTGTTCCCTGTTTCCCTGATTCAGTGCCCTCAATATAGAACTTCAAACGCATATGTTTCAGTCCGTCCTTTACGTATTCAATGTGACTAAAAACAGCAACACACAAAAAAAACCCCAACCACCCAGCAAGAATACAGATTATATGCTAGTTAAGTCTTCAAATTTAAACTTACTTAGAGGAGTTGCTTACTTATTTTGTAAGAAAGTGTATTCCGGTGGTGTCCTTATGCTACCTTGGCTTCCTTCTCTACTGCTCCTCTCAAGCTTTACTGTGAGTGCCTAAGGACTAGTGGAGTTAGAAGAGCTAATTAGCTGCTGAGGATTAAGAGATCAAATGCTTAAATGTCCTCACCCCAGTCCTCCCCTCAAAACTGAAAAGCAATCCACTGCTGAAGACTATGGAAATTCCCTGTATTTATTCTTAAAAAAACCCCAGATTTGGAGCCCGATATCTAGAAAGGGACCCCACATCACCAAGACTTCTGGAATTTTTTTAGGCACTTAAACTAAGTTATCAAGCCAAAACACACACACAGCATGTTTTTTCAAATTAATTATCAGGTTGGTTAAACCACATCAAAACAAACAGTTTACTATGTGCTTTACTTACTTTGGCAATAATTTTGTTCTGCTGAAACTGTGTAACTTTGTCACTGATATGAGATCTCCAACCTAAATGCTGGTATTTAGACTGGAGTTGAGTTATGCTCAAGTATTAAACAAATAGCACATCACTTTCAAAGTGACCATTTTGGGAAACTAAAGATCCCATGAGATTTCTGGTGCCAGTTTATGTTTCCTACTGAAATTATTAACTGCTGTTTAACACCAATCTCTGATTTTCATCAGTCATGCCCAGGTACACACTGTGAAATAAACTTCCAATACAGTTTAAAGTGACATGATGGGGTAGAGAGAACAAATACGAACAAAGAGCCTTACTCCAGTAAATTTACATTCAAGGTGTTCATACACAAAAAAACCCTGTAGATTTTTGAGATAAATATTTAAGATAATTTTTATACTGCAGATGCAAACTCTACAATCTTATACAGTTCTCAGCTCAAAAAATTATTTAAAACACAAAGCATCAAAATTACGGAAATTAAATACTAGGAAAGCTGATTCATAGTACATTTGCTTATTTACAGACGTGCTCAGAATGTTTGTCAATTTCATTTAGAAATTTCACTTTAAACATTATTTCACTGAGTCTGTTAAAGAGATAAAGCTTCAAGCAGTAAAAGTCACTTTCCTCAGACAATATAAAAAAATCTCAATTTCATGGTTCAACCTGTGTCTGGGCTTATGTATCATATCCTATGTTACCTCACCGAATACATTTCTGCCAAATAACCCAATTAAGCAGGGACAACTTATGTTTTGTAAGAAATAATTTTGTTGGTTCTTTCAAAAGGAAAGTAACAGACACACTCATTAAAGGTTTAGGTGATAGAAGTTCTGTTAAATACACAGTAGAGGTATTGCCTCAAGTACCAAAAAGCATTTTGCATATCAGCTCAGTATAGTTTCAGACTGTAAACTTCTGTCAGATTACTGCTCCCCCTATGCAAGCCTACGCCTCTGTACTACTCTTTTCAGAGTCATCCGATTTTTTGGAGAGCTATGTCTACCATGATGACCATTGCTTGTTTTGAGGCACTCAGAATTGGAATTTTAAATTGTATGTACACAGTACTCAGTGGTATACGGCACTAAGTATACTGCAAAAAATGTCTATGCTAAATCAAAAGTGACAGGATTCGTCACATACAGTTCATCACTCTAGAACTAACTTCTGATCCAAAGATATCTTTGCTGTGCAAAAACAGATGTCTTTATGGGGCAAACACCAAGGGGTACCTGACATGCTGTCGTCTTCCTCTTCTTGTTGCCTCTCCGTAGCCTTTAATAGAGTCACCAAAAACACCAATTATCTACAAGAGAAAAGAGGTTTGAGCTGTCAGAAGGGATCACATACAAAAAGCTATTCCAGTATCAGCTCATGCCTCTCCTGTGAATGCATGTTCTTTTAACAAAATGCCCCTGGAGAATTTAATGCGTCAAGAATACAAGTGTTTATAAAAAAAAAAAAAAACAGTTTAAGGAAAACTCCTCTGTATTCCAGTCCTTTTTATTATTTTCAGTCCTGTATTCAATGTCTAAAATAAATCCTATTGATATCTTCCATTTGTACTGTTCTTTGAGATGAAGACATGTAAACTGACATTTTGTATAAAATGAAAAAATGGAAAAAAAAAAAACCACAAAATATTTGTTCATGTCTCCTCCAAGAGAATATATTTCAAAGTTTAAGATGCAAATGCATTCTCCTTCATATTATCTAAAAAACACTACGGAATTAGAAATTCAGTAACTTTTTTTTCAGATCTATAAAGTCAGAGTAGATCACTTTATTCTTAAACCTACTTTAAATTTGGTTAGAAGAGGAGGTTAAGTTTTACTGTGCAAGTACTGGGAAGGTGTTTTAATTCTACAAATTTGTTCCAAAGCAGTTTCATTTCTATTCGAGCAACTTCATTTCTAGGTTATCCTCAAAGACATCTGTGGCAATCTTGTGTGAAGGGTTCTTTGTCTGAAGTATTTTCAAAATCTAGTTTCACATTGATTTTTGGTTATTTCTAGCTATGATGACTGTGTGATCCCATGACTGTTCTCCACCTGTTTTCCAGTTAGCCAAATGAAGAATTTAGATTCCTGGGTATCAGTGCAGTGCCTCACAGAATGACAGAACAATAGTGAAGTGCCACAATAGAGTAAGTGTGCTGAGAAAAGGCATCAGATAAGATCAACAGAGCTTAGTGGGACCAATTGCCTCTCTGACCCACAGAATTCAAGTGCTACATTTAACAGGCACTCAAAAAAGTCCCAAAAACTTTCTGTATGGTGACACAAGCACATGCTCTGAAGGGCAGACTGTATTTCCATCAGTTTTTGTGCTGTGGCATGCTCATTTGCCTTCTAGCAGGCTAGTTCACACAATCTCAATGTTTGCACTGTTTTGGACTAATGGAGGCTCTGCTCTGGAGCTGACACACCCCATGCCAACTAAAAGCACTGGCAGAACTGCTAAAGCACCAAGTGGGTCTTCACATAGCTTGTGAGATTCCTTACGCAAAGTTTTGACTTAAGAGAGACAGTAACTACTGAGAGACACAAACTTATGTCTAAAGCTCAAAAACCAACCTCAGGATGAGATCTGCACTTCTCCAAGGCATCTCCATAGATCTTATTTGGACTAGAAGAAGAGAATAGCTCTTTAAAAATCACATAGAACAAACCACCTGTAACAGAAACAACATCAGATGGAATGAAAACTTATCAAACCAAATGGAATTAATGAAAAGTGTCTTCTGATAAAAAATGTAATTTTAAAAAATAACCTGTAACACCAATTCCAACAAGCACCACAATAAAATAGGTAAAGTCTCTTCCAGCTTCTTTCACTGAAATGAAACAGAAAACAACATGTAAGTTACAACCTTGGGTAATAACACTTCTATGACTTTCTTACATAAATGCTATTCTGTTAGTCTGTAGCTCAAACAACATTTTAGCAGAAGAAAAAGTTCCAGTAAGTTTCCATAATGCTTCATTGCTGTAAAAGATACCATGGAACATCTCTTATATTTTACAGGGCATGTTTGCATTTCTGTGTCAAGACTTATTATTTCTGTTTGCCAGATGTTTTCAAGATCCAAAGTAGCAATTACTGCTGCTTTTTGGGTGTGTGAGAGCTAGACTTTTTAGGAACTAATGAGGTATTTAGCACTGCAGTATTCACACTACTACCTAAACCTATAATCACTGCAATCCTTGTGTGAAGAAAAGAAGTAAAAAAAAAAAAGTGAAAGCTTTTAAGCTACACACAATGAAAATAACTGATTTTATGAATTAGCAATCAATACAACAATAAAAACAATTAGACCAAAATAATTTTTAAAAAACTTAATTAACTGCTGTTTGATTAGTTTTTATCTTTCAATTTTGATCTAAAGTACAAGTATCAGTATGTGCTGCAAAATAAGTCATACAAGATTCTCTGTTTCAATATATTTGAATACTTGGAAAGAGACCACCACTATCTTTTAGTGTGCATTTCAGTGGAGTACAAGTTATGGAGGAAATGTTAATAACTATCTCTACTGCAGCCTTCTAATCAGTTGAAGTTAGTTATGAAGTTTTTCATAAGTAATTTCAAAGTTATGAAGTTTTTCACAAGTCATTTCAAAGTACTGAAAGTGAGTGAGACCAACTAAAGTGAAGGCAATCCATAAAGAAACTACCATCACATGTACAACTTTGACAATTTTGTTGGAGATGAACTTATTTCAACAGCCGTACAGACAGGCTACATGTGATAGGTATTTCTTCTGAAAGGGAAAATGAGAGGCTATTACATCTTGTGCCTGATAATTCTTAGATGAACAGGCTGTTTAGAAGTCACATAATTCTGACTGTGCAATGCATACACAGAAATATAACATCTGCTCCAAACAATACGATGGGAAAAGAAACCCGCTTGGTGTGCTGATATTTTTTTTTCCTAGATACTTGGTATTTGGAACTACAAAACGTTAGCTGCAGAAGGAACAGCCTCCAGCCCTTCTGAGCAGCACACAGCATCCTCCTCCTTACCTTTCTGAGCCGCCGACACCAGCGTTTCCTCGTTCAGCGCCCTTTGCACGGACACATCTTTGCTCTCCCGGCCAGGTTTTGCAGCTTTCAGCCCTCCCGCCTGCGTCCCGAAGCTCCGAGCTCTGAGCAGCAGCGGGGGCCAGGGCCGCCACCGCGGGCAGCAGCGGGGCGCGGCGGCGGCGCCCAGGAGCGCCCACCCGCGAGTGGCGAGCAGCCAGCGGCCCGGGCAGCCCCGCCCGAGGGAGGCGGGCAGCGCCCGGGGCAGCACGCCGGGCATGGCTCCGCCGGCCCCGCAGCGGCTCGCCCGGGGCAGGTGAGCCGAACGGAGCTGGTGCCTCTCGCCACCGCACCAGGGACGCGCCCGGGCAGCCTCCGCGCCGAGCGGCCGCTGCTCCAGCTCAGGAGCCCACCTGCACCTTTACGGCTGCCCCGGCGGAAACGTTTGGGACGGCGGAGCAGCGAGCGGCGACGGCGGGTCCTGGGAGCGGTAGTTCGAGCGGGCTCCCTCTCCCGCCCGCCGCCGGAGCGGCTCCCAGCGCGGTCACTACAGCGCCCGCAATGCCCAGCGCCGCCGCCGCCCTCCGCGGGCCGGGACCCCGCTCGTTCCAGGGCAGGGCGGGCGGCGCTGCCGCCGCGCCTGCGCTGCCGGTCGCCCTTTGGAAGCTGTGCTCTCATACGTGTTTTTCTTGGTCTTGCACACATTAAAGCGATGCAGTTGACGTTTCCACGGATGGAGACGGCTAGCGGGATCTGGGCAGGCTAAATCGATGGGCCGAGATCGATGGCACGAGGTTCAACAAGGCCAAGTGTGGGGTTCTGCTCACAACCGCAGGCAGCGCTGGGGACAGAGTGGCTGGAAAGGTGCTGGAAAAGGAGCTGGGGGGGTGGTGACAGCTGCTGAACGTGAGCCCGTGTGTGCCCAGGCGGCCAAAGCCAAAGGCTTCCTGGCCTCTATCGAAACCAGTGTTGTGAGCAGGATTAGGGAGGCGACTGTCCCGCTGTACTCGGCGCTGCTGAGGCCACGCCTTGAGTACTGTGTTCAGTAATGAAGCCCTCCGTTTATACTGAGCTGCTGGAGCGAGTCCAGAGAAAGGCAACGGAGCTGGTGAAGGGTCCGGAGCACAAGTTTTAGGAGGACCGGCTGAGGGAGCTGGGGATGTTTAGCTTGGAGAAAAGGAGGCTCAAGGGGACAAGGCGCTGCTGGGGCAGCGCCGCCGTTAACGCTCCCGCCGTCCCCGCCCCGCGCCCCGCCCCGCCTCCTCGGGCTGCCGCCGCCCCGCCGCCGCGCGCACAGCGGGACGCGGCGGCTCCGGCTCCTCCCGCCCCTCCCCGCCGGCGGTGCGAGGCCGCCGCTGTCCCGCCCATGGCGACGGGCCGTGGCAGGTAATGGTGGGCGCGCCGAGCGGGCTCTGCCGGCCCGGGGCTGCCTGCTTGGCATTCAGCCAAGGGGAGGGTTGGTTCCTTCTCCTTCTCCTTCTCCTTCTCCTTCTCCTTCTCCTTCTCCTTCTCCCTCTCCTTCTCCCTCTCCCTCTCCCTCTCCCTCTCCCTCTTTCTCTTCCCTCTCCCTCTTCCCTCTCCCCCCCGGCACCTTGCAGTGGGAAAACACTGGTGTTGCCAGCTGCACGGAGGCCTGGGTTTGGCACTTTTTGTTCTGCCTGGAAAGGGGAGCTTAAACTTCGGTATGTCCTTCAGCTTGAAGGAGGTGCTATAATAAATATCCAGGAAGTTAGTTGAATAGCTGCTTTATGTGTATTCAGGGTGGTTAGGCCTTTGTAATAGTTGTGGAAGGTGTGGTTGTCTTATTTCTTACAGTACGTGTTCAGCCTTCAGAATCTTAAAGCATCAGCCTGAGAGGCAAAGTTGAGAAAGCATATTTTTCTGCTAACCCGTTTCTTCAGCCTTGGGTTTCAGCGCAGTTTCATTCCCCTTGCTGTATTACCCCCCCCCCCTTTTTTTTAAACCTGCAAATGGATTGGGGTAATACCCACCTATTAAAAAGACTGAAATTGTTAGCTGAGAGAACAAAACCCAACCAACCCATGTCAAAACGTTATTTTTGTTTATCCCCAGATGTGCTTTAACAGGTGGAGGAGACAGGTTTTATCATTGCTTAAAACTTTTTGTTCATTATTTGAAATTTACTTGAAAGACAATTGTTTGCTGACCATCAAAAAACCAAGGCACACTGCAAGTATTATAGGGTGTGAAAGTGAAAATACTGGTACAAAACAGCCCCACAGGTTGAAAGGTAATGAAAAAGCAACTGAATTTGTTGTGCCTCTTAAGTAAGATCATCTCAATGGTTCTAGAAGTCTCTAAAGAGGGGGTGTAACAGCTGTCATTGATTTTTATCTTAGGCTTATCTGCCCAAGCTGTGTCAATGCAATGTAAAAGCATTCTGTGAATGCTAATTTAAAATCTTAGCACACACAGTACTTGAAAAGTAATTTATGGATTGGGATTGCTGTTTGTTTCTTCACACCTTGAGAATATTTTTGTTTCGGAAAATGCAAAAGTTCTGCCTTTTTTTTTTTATTGAAGCTTACAAAAACAATAGCTGTTACATTAAAGTTTTCAAAGCATGTGTGGGCAAAATGTTCCTCTCCTCATATATTTCTCCCTGTAGTGAAGAAGAGGAGGGAGGGTGATTTAAATGAGCAAGAAGGACTGAATACAGGCTATGCAGGTTATGCTTGTCCAAGGTAGTGTGTTTTAAAATCCAGAATCCAGCTTCTTATCTGAATTGGTCCTGTGGCAGGAGTCTGTGAAGTTGTGTCCCTATAGAGTATGCTCAAACTCTGCTTTGTTCAGGAGAGAATAGCCCGGGATGTGCTGCCCTGGAACATACAGGGCACAGCTTGTGTCTCTAAATCCCCTTAATGGCAGTTTGTTAGTGCCTCAACATCTAAGAGTTCTTGGTAATGATACATGAGTAAAACCCTTGTTTGAAGTCCACGTTGTATTTATTATAAGACTACTCTTTTGTAGTTGTTAACTTAGTTGGTCTATCAGTGATTGACACCTAAGCTGAAATCTGCTTGTCTTTTTGTTAAGTTTATAGAAATTCTCAGTAAAATGTCTTGTGTCTTGTTTGGGTTTTTTTTTTTTTTTTTTTTTTTTTTTTTTTTTTCCTTTTTTTTTTTTTTTTTTTTTTTTTTTTTTTTTTTTTTTTTTTTTTTTACATAGCACCATTGACAGTGTAGACCAGAGTTGTTAATTTCTTTTGATTTTATTTTTCTCTGAGCATAAATCAATCTGAAATCAAAACCAGAAGGCATTAAATGTATATGGTACCCATATAGTTTAAAATTAGCTATTTCCCCCCCCGCCCCGATATGGATTGGTTGCCTAGAAACCCAGAGCTGGTTTGGCCAGGTGTTGGAAATGTGCTGGCAATTTAAAGTCAGTAATGCAGTGAATGGGGAGCTCTGCCTGCTTGGTGGCATCAGTGGGTATGAAGTGTAAGGATTTGGTTTAAGATTGAAACTCTGTCTCCATATTTCTCTGTGGATTAATGATAGTATTTGTTTGCAATTGCAGCTTACAAAGTCCTTCCTATCAGAAAACTTGGAAAAATGTGTGAGTGGTTGGATTGTAAGAATTTGTGTTAGAAATATGCAAAATTCCTTTCCTTTCTATCTAAGTTGTGATGTGGAAATGTTGCCAAATAGGTTCTTTCACTGTGGTATGCAAGAGGCCAATCCAGGCACCGGGGTTAAGGTATTTGATAGCTTTACAGTACTGCACAGAAGGGGATGTTGGGTGGCAAATTCACAAAGCCAGCACACCAACTAATAAAACGTTTTACTATTTTATACATTTTAGCTAAGGAAGGAATTAGTTTTTATTGGATACAAGTAAGACAATTCTCTTATTAATTACTTTTCTATCTTCTGTTGGATCATGATTCTCATCCTTCTCATGCTAATTACTTTGCATTTTCAGTCTTTGTCTTTTTTGAGGCAGTGAGTTTATTGGGTCAGTGATTGCAATCTCATACTTCTGGAAGCTGGTGCTGATTTCAGCACAATTGCTGAGTTGGCTTTAATAGTTTCTTCCTTGTCTTGGGAGTTGTTCCAGGTATCCTTGTGGCCTGTAAATTCTGCATTCTTTATGTCCACTAGCAGTGGCCATCCTTCTTCCCAAGCTTTGTTAACCTCCCACTAGGTCTGAAATCAGTGAAGCATGTCAAGCCCTAAACCTTAACAAAGTAATTCTACCAACAAGTAATTTGCCTGACTAACATCTGGACATCCCTTAGAGCTTGTTAGCTGCCTTCAGTTTCATGGATTAAATCTCCTTTGTTGCTGTTTATGCAAGTAAACAGCATAGTATAGTATAAAAGTATACAAATACTTTTTGAACAGCAACAGTTTTTGAGGAAGTTTCAAGGTATTCTTTCTATCTGGTGTCTCTTCATAGCTTAGCAGATTTGGATGGCTCAAAAATGTCTCTGGAGTAATGTTGTGAAACAGAAGATTAATCAGTTAGTTTGACTTGCTGCAGGGACCTCAGTGGAGCTTGGTGGTAGTGGCCAAGCAGTGGTGCTGCTGTCTAAGGGTAATAGAGCTCTTCTGGATTCAAACTGATTTGGGGGAAAACTATTCCCTTTGCCTGCTGTGAGAGATTGATCACAGGATTGACAGCTGTGAGTTTAAATCTGAATCTTCTTGATGCCAGGTATTTTAACTTAGGTGTAATTGTTCAAGTAATAATGATTGCCATGTGATGTATTCCCTGCATCCTGCATTGGTTGAAATGTTGTGTCTAGGTGTGCACAGTATGTGTATTTCTTCATTTTGTGAATATGTGATTCTTAACAGCTTTTCCTTCTTACAAGTAGGTTAAGGACCTTTGCTGCCAGGCCTAAGAAATATTCTGAAACTCTAAATGCTGGAATTAAAAGTCTGTACTTGACACCTCCCATAAAACCGAAACCAAATGTGTGCATTGAGAGGTGAGTATGTCTTTATGTTAGGAGTAAGAGTGGAATTCCCCCTGTAAGCTGTATTTTGGCTGCTTGCAGTAATTATATTCATATCTTGGGAAATTTCTATGTCAGATACTCTGAGTTGAAAAAATTTGCTTTCCTGGCCTACTTTAGGATCCTGTGTTCACTTTCTAATGTTTTTTGGCATGGTTCTCCTTTGTGTTCTTTCCTAAGTTCACAAGGAATATGTGCATTTTCTGAGCCATGTGAAGCCTTCAGCAGCTCCTGTGCAAGTCATGGGCAATGTTGTTCCTTGAGAATAAAAAATGTTATTTTATTCCTGCAATGAAAGCCAGTTTGGAATTAAACTTCTGTTTCTCTTGGTTATTGGTTGTCATCAAATGGATCTTAGTGTATAGAGAGGCTGAGAATGGTGGGATGGGGGGGAGGAATAAGTGGCTGCTGTGTATTTGCTACAAGAAAATGTTTCTCTTCCTGTTTGACAGTGA